CTTAGACATCTGTGTCTCCCTTCAGGACCCAGCCTCCCTCACCTTAGGCATCTGTGTCTCCCTTCAGGACCCAGCCTCCCTCACCTTAGGCATCATCTGTGTCTCCCTTCAGGACCTAGTCTCTCTCACCTTAGACATCATCTATGTCTCTCTTCAGGACCCAGCCTCCCTCACCTTAGACATCATCTATGTCTCCCTTTCCCTTTCCTGTTAGTCTTGCCACCTTGACACACCAGCTTAGGGGCCTGGGTTTTTATGGTCAAGCTGTTGGCACTGTTATCCCGGTCATACCCTGAGCTCTGGCAGTTTAAAAAGTTAAGAGTACCTGGGTAGGGTTGTATCACCACATAGTTCTTAACCCAGCCCAAACCCAAGGGCCTTTTGTTCCATTTCATGCTTCCTTGTGGTTCTGCTGCCATCATGAGGTGAAGGTCATGCTCGTAGCTGGGCTTGGTCCTCTCTGGGTCTGGCATAGCAGTGAACAGAGTGCTGTTGTGTGACTTTACCCCAGGATCGGAGGGGAGCAAACATATACTCGCCTCAGATGGGGTACTGAGAACAAAACAAAGAAACCCAGGACTAGCTTAGTAAATGAGTGAGTTCACTGGGTTATGCATACGAGCATAACTGACTCAAAGGCAGGTGCATCACTGGAAGGCCCAGCATGCGTGATGACTCTCAAGACAGTTGCATCCTGGAGCTCTCTGCAGGATTTGTGGGCAGCTCAACTGGTCAGAGGCTCCTCTTCTCGGCAATTGTCATTCCTTACGTAACCCTCGGGAGGGGCCTTGTGAATCTCATATGTTTTAGGAACTTTTTGAGAACTGTGAGTTATACACTTACTGGGTTTTCTAAATTTTGTTTACCTCCCGAGTCTTAAAGGATGTAGTTCAAAGATGGAATGTTTGGTTTCAGTGCCGTCGACCCTCCAGTACTTCGGCCTGCTACGCTAAGGTACCTGGGGATGCAGAGGCTTACCTTCTCTCTGTGGGACTACAAGTCCCAGCCTCACTCCAGTAGATGGCAGGTCCCCAGCCTTAGAGGAAAGTTAGAAATGGAATGGCAGTGGCCCTTGGATGTCTTCTAATGTCCACCTGCATTAGTCTTCTGCTGCTGCGATGAAACGCCATGACCAAGGCAACTTTTAGAAGGAAGAAGTTTGTTTGAACCTATGGTTCCAGGGGAGAGAGAATTAAGGCAGCAGGTGGCAGACTTGCAGCAAGGACTGCTGAGAGCTCATGTCTCAGACTCTAAGAGGGAAGCATAGAGAAAGCCACCTCTAGTGACAATTCCTCCAACAAGGCCACACCTCCTCAGCTTCCCAGAATAGTGCTGTCAAATGGAGATCAAGTATTCACATTCCCCAAGACAACGGGAGACATCTTTTTCAAACCACCATGTTCATAAAACCCTTTGAGGAATGTGGGGGTAGGGGGAAACGTGGTACCCAAGATTTTCTACGGAACTGAGTAGACGCAGTACCCCAGATCTACGGTCTAGGTTGAGCCTGTAGTGCAGAAGGTGAACGGCTCCTCCAGATCCACAGAAGTACCCACACATACACACAGATCCATGCACAGATAACTCCCACACACCCACATGCCCACAGAAGTGTCCCTCCTCACAGATACACATGTATGCACATTGTACACGGGACCACACGTGTATACACATGAGCTCTTCAGCAGGATGATGACAGGTATCAGGGGACGGTCACATACACGTGAACACCGTGCTTCCTCTGCTGTGCCTCACCCACCTAAACTACAGTCGGTTTCAGAGGGACATGCTGGTAAGACCGAGACCTCTGCCAGGTTGAGGTTGCGGGTTCTGTTCGGTGCTGCCAGTGAAGAAGACAGCTGTGTGTCTGAAGGCTCAGAATCCTGTTCTGGTGGCTGAGGCTGATCAGTCAGGCCCAGGTTCAGATATCTCCCCCCCCCCCACCCTGTTTTGCTGGGTGTTTGTGTGACAGCTAATTATCTTATGTTACAGAGGCACACTTACTCATTTGTGAAGCGAATTCCCGAGGACAGTCTTATTAGAATTAAGATCCCTTGGTCCTCTGGGGTTTTGCCTCAGAGAGTGGAGTACTTAATTAGCAAGCATGAAGCCCTGCGTTTGATCCGGAAACCATATAAGCCAAGTATGATGGTTCATGCCTGGAATCCTACCTCTGAGGAGGTGGAATAGGCAAAGCAAAATTTCAAGGTCATCTATGTAAAATATATGAATTTAAAGCCAGTCTGGACTATATGACAAAACTCCTAACCCTAACCCCGCCCCACACACACACAGGCAACAACAAAGGATTTCAGCTCACTAGGGAATGCCTGGGTCAGCTAGATCCCCAGGCACCCCCAGGACTTCCATGGCTATCTGTGCACCTAACATTTGTGTGGATATTAGAGCCTTCTAACTCTCCCAGGGAAGTGCCCAGAGCAGATCACAACACACTTGCTCTTCAGAGAGGCAGCAACCCCGTCATGCGATTTTAACAGGTTCCCTCCCTGCCACCCACCCACTCTGCAACTCTTTTTCGCCCTGCTCCCCACTGAAGCCCTGGATGCTCACTCAGAGAGCTCGCTGTGAGGGAGGAGCCTGGCGGGTGAGCGCAGGCAGCTCCGCCTCCTTTCCGACGCCTCCGGCTCCAGCCCTGAGCTGGAATCTCCCGGCGCTAGGAGCCCGGAGGTAGGCCGGGCGTGATGGCCAGGCCCCCGCAGCCCCGGCGTGGCCCTGCGACGCCTGG